ACATATTCATATGTATATACCGGTCTTCAATGTTCCCCGGGAGAATATGTGTAACTCAAGCAGAAAAACTAACAAAACTACCATTTTACTAAACAGTACTCCGACTACAAGAGTTCCACTGATTCCTTCCTTAAAAAAACTCCCCCAAAAAACCCCACTCATTGACAGAAAATTGGATTTGTACAAATGCTGCAACTAATCTGCATATCTGTGATGAGAATGTCAGACAGTTGTTATGAAAACGGTATGAACCACACATGAACCAAATGACCTACTCTGCATGTATCTAACAGTGTCTGAAACTGGGGGAAGAGTTGTGGTTCCTGAATTTCGCTTGACAGCAATATGTTCATGTATTTTACCAGACACCAATCCATGGTTGTTTGATGCTAAGAATATAACTGTATTCAACAACAGAATTTGAAATGAATTTAGGCCATGAGGCTCAGAATAAGCAAAGTATAAGATAGAATTTGCAATTAAACCTGAAAATTGAATATGGAAAACTACACAGTACTCTAAAATAGAGGTTCATTAATGGTGTGTAATAACCGTGTCAGTCATATCTATTGCGCACACACACATTAATGTCAAGACATGCATCTGGAGTCCTCTAAATTCCATTATTTGAGCAAGGCATATGAAAAACACCTTGTTTTGAAAAACTGTTTGTTCAGAATGAGCTTGTGCACATCATTTACAGAAGTGGCAGGTGTCAAGTAAATGCTTTCCTGCTCTGAATTTCAACCTTGGTGACGCATTAATCTTTAGATTTAAACATAAAAGTTTCTACAAGGATGCAAAACTTACTTATACAGTGATGTAAAAAAGCCGATCAAAGGATTTCAGCATCTTGACATTAGCAAACTTTGATGTTTTAATTTTACAATTTTGATGCATAGTGCAACCAACATACACTGCAACAAGCCTTGTCACAGGTGCAGGCTGATGTCTGCTTGAGTTACAGACTTCTCCACAACGGTCATTTGGTCAAGGCCTTGAAGCATGCGCTTAACTAACATAGGGGAGACCAACCAACTTGTTTGTGGGGTGAGAATACATTTACGTCACATTTAGCAATATTTCAGTAACATCATGGTGGGGGGACACGAAAAACGATCCTAACATGTTGCACCCATGAAAGCTTTAACCATTTGGCCAGTAGTAATTCCCCTGCAATTCTTTGCACAAACAAGCTAAAAGATGAACCAGTTTGGAAATATCCCACACGGTGGAGCTGCAGAAAGTGATGCTTTGCACAAAATTGATGTTGACTCCCATGAGTTAACATAGATGTACGATTCACAGAGATTAGGTTGTGTTAACAGGTACTTGAACTATCAAGCTGAGGGAATGAATCAATCTGTGTAATATGAATGGCAGCTGAGTTGCTTATAGTTTCAATAAGGTATCAGAGTTGCTTTACAGATATTAGGGATCATGTCACCATAGTTACCGGTTCACTGTTTTGCAAAAGTTATGGTTCCAAATTTAGATTTTTTTGAAGGATGTGGTTGTCACACATGTCACTTCTCTTAGGGTTTGGTTCTTGTAAATCACCAGACTTTGACCCTGGGTTTAACTATTTGTTACCGTACTTTAAAATGGTGCTGTATCTCCTGCTCTGAGAGCATGAGGGGAGGAAACACAATGCTCAAAATGGAAGAACTTCAAAATTTCACAATGTAAAAATTCCCTCTAAGGAATCTGGGGGAGTAGCCTAGTTGGATAGTGTAATAAACGTAACATCATAACAAACAAAAATACACAGGCCTCAAAATATGTGTACACATGCAAGTTAAATTGATGTGGCGAAAAGCAATATTCACTCGTTTCCTAAAAGCATAAAAGTGAAAATAGTGTTGAGATTATGAACATAACATTGCAGGTATACAAAATATTCCTTCCGAGTTTCAAAGCACCGTGATGACTACGCAGTCCCTCACAATCTCTCAGTTTGCCTCAAACATCCAGTGACTTCAAATAAATCACCTTTTTAGATAATACAAAGCAGCTGTCAAAGACAGATTTTCAAGTTCAACATATCAGGGCTGTCTAAATTGGTCAATCACTGGAAATATCTTAACGATTCTTAATTATTACTGATATGAAAATTGCGTCAGTGATGACATCTTTCACAAACTATTGATGAAATAATGTTATAATTTACACACACAGTTTTGAAGTTTTTATACATGGGCTGCTTCTAAGTTATGTTCAGATTGCGGTTTTGTTAGTAATCCATGCATAAACATGCAACCACTTACCTGTAATGTGAAATGTTGATTTTTTTCGCACTTTTTTTTCTTCTTCAATTTTGCTCAGTTTTACGATAAGAATCAATAATCAATCGATATCTAGTTCACAATTATTGATCTGTGTGATCTATAATGATAGCCACGTCTACTGTATATAGCCCAGAAAGCAATGTTGACAATGATAAGTACAACACCTGCCTCAATTTTCATCAATGTGACACACAAACTAGCTGCATCATACTGATTGTTTTCTGATACTGTTTCAAGCATAATACGTTCTTGTAATGACAGCCAGTAAGCTTACTTCACCCATATCGGGAATGACACAAGTTTCAGAATGAAAATGACAGTTAATTAGCCCATACCTCATTTATGTACTAATATAAGTCAACAGTGACACGGAAAAGTCCTTTGACTTAAAACGAAGAAATAAACACAAAATTAAACTTTTCATTTCAATAAAAATATATTCAAAGTTATTAATATACAAAAATATTACAATGACCAACCTAGCTTCAAATGTATACTGATCAAATTGTTAGGGAACATGATCATTTTGAGGGATTGCTTTTAGCAGTGAAAATTATTAATGATCTCCAACCTTTTTCTCACAGTATATAAGCATACACTTGAAATAGAATTGACTCCAAGACTGATTATCACACGGACAGCCATTTGGTTCAGGTAAGATTCAGGGATGGAAGCTTGGTTTATAGTGATAATTAAACTTGAAAATTGAAAAATTGCAACTTGTATCAGGCCATCATAACAGTAATAATTGCACATAACATTTTAGAATACATAGATATCCTTTGCGCAACAAAAATATAAATTGACTATTTCATGACGTGTATTGAATGAAGTTGTTAACTTGTTTACAGAATCTGTAACTATGCCATGACACACAGTGTAAGATTAATGCAATACTATGTAAACAAGAAGTCACTGATCATGAGGGTGAGGGCTGGGTTGAAACGATACAAGGTCATTGTAAATTGTTTCGCGATACGTTTTGATGATAAACACTGTGAAGCAGGGTCCAAAGGAAAAACTAGTGGTAGGCGCTGGTTCATGGTTGGTATTTTTAGTTGTAAACTTGAAACACAGTTTATGTTGTGATATTTAGCTTACAAAACACTAGCGAATGGGAGTGTCATTAAAGGAGTAGTAATTAGTTGTAAGTGTATTGTCTTATAATAATATAACAAAAACTGTATTGGTTTCGTATCAACAAATGGGAACTGATGATGCACCGTGTGTCTTGTTTCACCCCTAGTGAAGCTTATGTTTGTTTAATACACACACAACAGAAACTAAGAATGGTTACATATCTGCCTAGTACCTATCATCAAAAGTTACGCTTCATTGATTGAAATAAGTTTGCTTTCTTCAGCATAAAATTCAAAATAACATGTGTATGGGTTTAGTAAGCATTCCTTTTGTAAATTTCCAAGACTCTTATTACAGCAAATATGGTACAGATCTCTTGATGAAACACTTGAGATATCTATACTCTCTATATAGAACATGTCCATCTCTGAAGACATTTATCCTGCAGGTTTGTTTTGCTCTGTCTTCTTTAAATGATTTCTTATTGTGTCATTGTTAGAACAGAAACCATTATCATGGCAGAATAAAACTGGTACCAGTAAGCTGGGTAAATGAATAATAATCTTGTAGTTAATACAATGTATGGTTTACCAATTCAGGATCGGCAACAGACCGTAATCCTACACCACCACAGTGGGAAGCTTGACACAAAGAACTTAAACTTGTAAGAAAGAGAGAAATCAACAAATAAAGTACTGTCGGAAATAGAAAAAAACTTTTTTTCGCATTTATATCTACAGTTTAAGTCGTTAACATGTGAAAGTATGAAATATCTGTTAAACTAAGTTCGGCCTAACTACAGTCACAATGGTAGGGAGATAGGAAATGTAGAAAAAGGATTTCACTTACTTCCAAAGCGACTTATTTGGAACAGATCATGGCTTTATACAAATTAGTGTGCAATGATATTGTATTACAAAGGACACTTTTTAAATTCCCATTTTGAAATTAAAGTTAGCTTCATTATAAATCATAATTGATAGCTGACGTACAAAATAATAACTTTAACACTGAAACTATTAAGGATGTAGCTACCACGGAGTGTCTCACTATCACTATCACTATAACAAGAAACAGGTGAGAGGGGTTGTCTCAAAAGCAAAACCAGGACGGGTGTCGCAGACGGTGGTTGGGGTCAGGCTGGAGGATAGAGATAAGATAACCCTTTAGGGGAATTAAACTGTGGAAGAAAACGGCATGTCATAATAATTCACAAATAATATCCAGTCCTGTCGATCTTGGGGTGGTCATGCCACCTATATATTTTGAAACATTTAATACAATGGCTGATTTAAGCTTTTCTATGGGTATCAACCTCTTTTACATATCACAACATAAACTTTATGAAAGAAAGACAGCTAAAATGTTAATCAATAGATGGGACATGTTCAACACACATGAAAAGCATAAAATATCATTGAGATGACCTCCTTGTGCCTGTATGCAGCACATGCATTTCATGCCAGGTGGGTCGACGGTCCGTCGTCATACCTGGCTGAGCGACCTAATTGCCATCTATAGTCTGATGTACTGTTTTCAGCAGCTATTCGTAATTTTCTAAGTTTTGCCCGATTTTACGAGTAAACATGCTTTTCTGGATATCCTATTACGCATCTCACTGAACGCCCAGTTAGGCCGATGTGGGTTTTTTCGACATATGCTATTTGCAATTGTGTAAATTTTAGGGATACAGAGTAGCAGAAACAGTTTTTTTTCTATTTCCGACAGTAATTTAGGAATTTCCTTCCTATGAAGGACCTAACATTTACAGACAACTTATTCAAATATTTAACTTAACATTTGTTAATACAAATACATTCTGTTTTCTTCACATGCCATACAGCATACCCCATATCCTTCAAAGGTACATTGCAAACAAGGCTACATAAAGGCTATAAAGTTATTGAAATATAAAATTAATATTTTTCGATTCCAAACACATTCTGTTTCCTGATTTCCCTGGCAACATATCATACACTCTTATCCTTTAAAGGGTACACACTAACATGGCTACAGAAAGCAAATTTCTTCGTTGACACGAACTGCTTTGAGAGTTTGAGAGAAATAATCTTATACTTGTCAGTGTTAAAATCATACATGCTTCACTAAACACTCTTAACTGTAAATAATGGATAAAACAATACTAGATCCATTATGATGTTTATCAATGTACATTTAACCTATATAGCAAAGATGCTCCAGTAAGATTGTCTGTCACATACAGTGTTTCATGTCACGAGAGATTTCTAATGTTTGAGGCAATACCTTTTCACCTTCACAAAGCAAGAGTTGTAGAGAGAGAAGTAATCACAAGGTTGTATAGAGGGTAAATATGTGCAGTGTAGCTTTGTTTGTAGAAAAAACAAAACATGGTGTCTGGCTGGCCGTGCTGACTTTGCTGTCTCTTTGCACTAGAGAGGTCCTTCGGGCAGGTAACTCTGCATGGACATCCTGCTTGTTTCACAACTACATACAGCTTAAAACCAAAAGCAACTGTTAAGAATCCTCTCTTTGGTGTTCCTGTGGCTGATCTGGTTGGTTGTCTGGAGCCTGAAGATCCTTTATTTGCTTGATCAAATACGCTTTTTCATCGTTAAATTGTTCATCTTCAGATCTGTCATTGTGAAATTTGGAGAGGAATTCCAACAACCTTTCTTTGTTCCTAAGTAGTATTTCCAGAATAGGTTTTGGTTTGTTGGGGTTTGCCACAAATACCTGGAAACAAATCAAAATGTAGGTCAGAGAGAAACGAATAGTTGTGAGCTCTTTCTGCACTCATGTAGCCAATATTTCACAACATTATAACTGGGACAATAGACTTTTTCTTCTTGTCCAAGTTGTTTGATAATGGTAGTTCAAGTAGGTTATTACTGGAAGTGCATTTGAAATTTATCCTGGATTTCAAATTAAGAGAGCTCGGCAAGCAAATTTGGAATAATTGTTAATTATTTCAAAATTTGATATGTTTTGTGTATATAGTTTCTTTTCTGGGACAATACGAACTGGGAATTTTTACTTTCACTTGTTTCAGATATGCAGCCAAATATTGGCTTCTGAGAAAGTCTAGATAAATCCCTTCCCTGAAAACAATATTGTTTAATTCTATCTCGCCATACATAGATCACTTATAAGAGATCTGTAGAAACATGCTGTCTTCATATTTTAATCAATGATCTTTAAATATGGCCCCAAATGAGTTTAAGCCATTACATAAAAATAGCGCAAACAAGATAATCTTTGCAATTTTCAAACTTAGAAAATGAACATGAAATAATTGCAGTTTTGTTATGATATTATCCCTGTTGATTATTGACAATATCAGAATTCAATTCAATCAGTGTTCAATGATATAGTGATTACAATCCTCACATACTGGGCAAATTGTGACTTTCACGTGTGCGTTTTTTGCATAATGTAGCAATATTCATGCTGTATGAAAGGGTCTGTAAATAATTGAGTCTGGACCAGACAAGCCAGTGATTTAGTTGTGAGCAACAATCCATGCTGTCAGGAGCAATGATACAGCAGAATCAACTACAGTCAAACCATGCTGTGTCAAACTTCGATGGCTCATACTTATGGTTGTCTGTGGTAAAACCTAAGTGAAGTGGTCTTCAGCAACCCATGCTTGTTGTAAGATGGGACTAACATCATTGTATCCAAATTGCACAAATTGATGCTGATGATTACTGGACTGTCTGTTCCAGACTTTAGTATTTACAGACCACCGCAATATCGCTGGCATGTTAAACAACAAACAGGCAAAGCCAAACAATGTCAACTAAACAAACAGCTGTATTCTCTTCATCAAAATTTACATATAAAAAGATATTAAACTCAATAATTAAATATCTAAACATTCAGCCACAAATCTGGTTCTCTTTTTAACTATGGGAATTGAACTTACCTTGAATACATGGAAGGCTTCAAACTGAATGTTACGAGACTTGTCTCTTAGCATGTTCATCATGAGTTTGAGGTTGGATGGGTTGCTGATGTAGCGCGTCATCACGGTGAAGTTGTGGCGGTCAAGGAGCAGCTCGCCCAACAGCTGCAACAATGATATAGTCAGATTGATTTAAACTGGGAATATGTTTGGGCAAAAAAGGCATTAAGATTGATTTAAACTTGGGATTAGGTTTGGGCAAATGGGCATTCAGATTGGTTTAAACTGGGACAATGTTTGGGTAAAACGGCATTAAGATTGATTTAAAACTGGGATTGGGTTTGGGCAAAATGGCATTTTGATTGGTTCACACTGGGACTAGGTTTGGGCAAAAGGGCAGTCAGAGAATATCTAGCAATCCTTCAAAAGAATCCATCCTTAGTTTGAACATTGATAAAACAATTGTGTATTCACTTTCACAGTCAGTGTAAATTTATTGCACTTCAAAACCATCTATGATACTGTAAGTCACAACATCTTTTCTTTCTATATCATGTTAACATTGCCCAGATATCTCCTGTTTGGTATGTAAACGTTTAAAGTGTGCATCTGACTGGGTTTTCTCAGCAGACCAGTTGTGTTACAATCACTGAATACACAACAAAAATGTTCATTTTGCAGAATGCCAGATCATAATTACAATAAAATCAATAGTTTTTAATTTCATCTCACCACACATGCTTTACTTATTAGAGATAGCCTTAGAAACATTATATTCATATTTCAATCAGTGACCTTCAAATATGGGCTGAACAAGCCAAGAGTCCTTACAGAATAATAATAAACGAATGCGATATGATTACACTGAACAATGACAATTTGTTATATACCCTATCATGCAGTATGGTATTATGCCACTTTCAGCACTATTAAGGTGAATACACAAGAAATGGGCTCCACACATTGTACCCATGTGAGTGAGCGAGTTTAACGCCGCTTTTAGCAATATTCCAACAATATCACGGCGGGGGACACCAGAAATGGGCTTCCCACATTGTACCCATGTTGGGAATCGAACCCAGGTCTTTGGCGTCATAAGCGGATGCTTTAATCACTAGGCTACCCCACTGCCCCTAAACTTATTCAAGACACAGAACATGAAGAATGATACAATACTGAAGTCATGAAAAGTACTCACCTTCAAGGCCTGTCTCTTTGTTACATAATTTTCAGAGTTTAATAGCGTCTGATACCTTGAGAAAACTACATCATAATTTTTTTCTAAGAACTCTGCAGACAACATTTTATGTTTAGTGAGAACTTCCTGAAACACAAAAAAGACAAAAGTCAGTCAGGGGAAAGAGGCTACAAAACAGTTTCTTCAGTGTAAATTTAACAAAGTTTTCTTCAGGCAGTATTTATACAGTAATATGAAAGTGTCAGCATATTGTGATGATATAGCCCTAAGTAATGCGAGGTCAACTACTTTGGTAAAACCAATGAAGACAATTACAGTGCTGATCAGGTAAACCTGGGATTTGAGCCCACTGATCACAGATCATAACATGTTCAAGGGACATAACTCCCCATTGATAGGAAGATTGAGGGAATCAAACCTGGGTCTTTGACGTGACGAGCAAACACCTTAACCACTAGGCTACCCCACTGCCCCTCTCAGACTGGATTGGTATCACTGTTTTAAACAGTACTGTAGTGAGTAAATTGGGTTTAACACCATTTTGAACATTATTCCAGATATATCACGGCATGCAAGCTCACTGTGGGAAGTTATGCTGAAGGAATGCAGGGCATTTTAAACACCCACCACATGGGTGAAACTTAAGGGAACAGGAATGGTGCTGATAAGCCTTGTAACATAACCAGTGGGTGTAAGTAAGTGAGTTTAGTTTTCTGCCACACTCAGCAATATTCCAACTATATGGTGGCTGTCTGTAAATAATTGAGTCTGGACCAGACAATCCAGTTCACCAGCACGAGCATCGATCTACACAATTGGGATACGATGACATGTGTCAACCAAGTCATCAAGAGTGACCAACCGATCCCATTAGTCGCCTCTTACAAGCATGGGTTACTGAAGATCAAATTACATACCCTGATCTTCACAAGTATGTAACATAACCAGGGTGAACCGGGATTCAAATATACAATCATAGGTTTCTAGTATGACTAAGGGATGTATCACCTCAAAGCATATTACAATTCCTCAGAATGAGTATGGTTTTACGCCGCTTTTAGCAATATTCCAGCAATATCACGCAAGAGTTCCATAGATGACGACCCGTTCTTCCTACTACTGAACTAACGGTGTTACAAAAATACATGACAGCAAATTCAAGGTAAATTTATGTTCAGGGGTGGAAATAACCCATTGCCCGACGTCCGAGTCAAGTGTTTTTTTCTGTCGGGCAAGCAAATTTGTATATTACAGTGTACCGGTGTCCAGTTGACTTTCCAATGTTAATTATGTTGCATATTTAAAAAAATCAACAAGAAAACAGCTGCTATAGAGGGAAAATTATCAGGGCAAGTGATTTTACATGTGCCACTGTACCGGAGAACACTAGCAATTTTAAAGTTATTTCCACCCCTGATGTTACATTGTAAATGATGCATTCGTTTCCATCAAGCATCGTATTCATACATACATGCATAGTCTGCTCACCTTGAATGTTGAGAAGGCATCGGATGCAATATCAAATGTGGAACAAGTGACATAATCAAAGAACTGAAAGAAGATTTCTATTTCTAGAAGTTGTCGAGCCAGTGATTCATAGCGGCAACATTCGCGGAGGATAACACCACAGTTGAGGGCGATCTCTGGGGTAGAGTACCTGAAACAAGAAGCAAGCATGTGTACACCTGATTTCATAATATTCATGTCACACCAAGTACAAGTAACAGCAATATTCCAGCTATATAAAAGCCACCTGTAAACAACGAGTGACATAGTGTAGTCTCTGACCAACTTTCATGTTCACCTTTAAAACGAACCTGCACAATTTGCATTTAGACAAAGAAAATATGCTAAGTCACTTCATACAGGTGAAAAGTCCCCAGTAAGAAATTAATATAACAAAATCAACAGATCAATAATAACAAATTCAACTAATGATTGTATATTCTGTACACCTGATGTATAATGGGCCTGTGGCCCCTTTACTGAAAAAAACTCTCTCTCTCTCTCTCACACTAATGCCGTACATGAACCTGAAAAACACACAAGCCACATTGCCAGTCAGTCTGATTGTGACGATTGCTTGAAAAATATTTCTGAGAATATGTTTGTATTAATGATGTGTGAGTGAATAGGGATTAACATGGCTCTGACTTCAATTACATTTACTACATGCCAAGGGAGAAAACTCTGTACATTGAATTACAGCACTTCAGAACCCTTCACAATGAAAACTTTTATAACCAGTTAATATAAGAACAGGATTAACTTACGACTACATTCATTGACATGCCATATCTGGAGTTATGTGTTATTCGTAAAGTCTTGTGTAAAGGAGATAAAAAACCTGTTAAAGCTAACAGTAGGTGTCTATTTTGTAGACCACTCCTCTACACCGAAAAGTGTGCAATGTATGAAAATGTGGTACAATTTCACACAATCCATGGGCTCCTTGTGACAATTTACCTTGGAATTAGTACCTACCCTTTCACAAGCTCAATGAGTATCTGTGGTCTGACACTGATGTGCTCCACCGTGGGGGTGCGTGTCCCGATCTGACGTCTCAGCAGATTGTTCACTATCAACACCACGTCCTTCCTTCCCTAAACACAAACACATCATCCTTGTTAGATTCATCAATCACGTGAAATAACTAGTCGCCCCTCCAGTTTTATGTACCCTTTTTCCATGTCAACATTTGAGTTACATAATTCATATTTCTATATAATTTTGAATATTTGTGATACAGAAATACACAAAGGTAATAATCAACTTATCACAGGACGTCATTCTTAAACATGTTCAATATTCTTATGTTTAAGACTTAATTTCAGTCAATGATATGACTTTTACAAACTTCATTTCAGACAAAAAGTCCAGCCTATTTTGTCCACAAACTTAGGCCAAAGAGCATTTAAAACCATACCAAAAAACACAAGTGTATGCTAGAAGTATGTAACAAGCAAAGACTGACTTATGAGTACTGTTTTTGTGTGGACGACCCCATTTATCATATGATGCACCAGGTGAAGATCCAGATTCGAATTGGTCTTCAGTAACCCATGCTTGTTGCAAAAGGTGATTGGGTGGCAAGGCTTGCTGACTTGGTGGATGAATGTCATCATGTCCAAATTGCATAGACTGATGCGCATGCTGACAATCACTGAATTGTCTGGTCCAGACTCAATTACATTCATACAGCCATTTCATCATTAGCCTTGCCATAGAGTCTGACCATCAAATACCCATCTTTTGCCTTTAACATGTACAACTAGCGTTGTGGCTCTACTTGACATGGGGCCCTAAAACACTCAGAACTGACCTACCTCAAAGTCTATCTTGTGCAGGTTGAATATGAGGAGCTTGAAGATGTCATTCAGGTACATCTCCTGAGCAAGCTGAGCCACCTGCTCAGACAATGGCTCCTGGTCAGCTGTTCCATAAACCATTAGCTTCATCTGTGTGATGATCTCACTCGTCTGTGGAGGGAGAATACATGGTGATTATTACATGGCTACTCTGGGTGGGTGTGTCATGTGGGATGTACACTGGACACCAACAGCTTCATCTGTGTGATGATCTCACTCGTCTGTGGAGGGAGAATGCATGGTGATTATTACATGGCTACTCTGGGTGGGTGTGTCATGTGGGATGTACACTGGACACCAACAGCTTCATCTGTGTGATGATCTCACTCGTCTGTGGAGGGAGAATACATGGTGATTATTACATGGCTACTCTGGGTGGGTGTGTCATGTGGGCTTTACACTGGACACCAACAGCTTCATCTGTGCGATGATCTCATTCGTGTGAGTGACTTAGTGAATGCAGTAATTCCAGCAATATCACGGCTGGGACACACCAGAAAAGGGCTTCACACCATGCACACATAGAGAACTGAACCCAGACTTTCGGTGTGATGAATTAAAGCATTAACCAACTGCCCTGGTCTCGCTGAAGAGTGAGTGAGTATTGTTTTATGGCAATATTCCAGCAATGTCACAGCAGGGGACACCAGAAATGGGCTTCACACTTTGTACCCATGCGGGAAATCGAACCTGGGCCTTCGTCGTGACGAGTGAACGCTTTAACCACAAGGCTACTCTACCGTCCCTCTCACTGAAGAAACACATATTTTGTCTAAATATATCATCATATATCATATATATAAGGCTAATAAAGGAAAGCTCCTCCAGCATCATCTTGTCATTTCAAATGATGGGCATCATTCATATTTATTGCCAATAAAAAATATTTCTCATATCATATTCATGAACATATCGATATCCATTAAATAAAATGTGTCACCGTGTTTACAGCTGTCACTGTGTAAAAGAAATAAGTTCAATGTATGCCCAGTTGTGTTTGTATTATTGGCTGGGGAAAAAAATGTATGGTTTCTTGCATCACTTTTATTTATATGATAAATCTAGAAATGATAAACAGAGTCCTACTGTCCTCACTTTAAAAAAAATGTGCCCAGGAAATACTTTGTTTATGGCACCTTTAAATATGTTATCATATATGAGAGCTTACCCTTTTTTGCTGTTTATCAATATTAGCAATTGATTCTTTTAAGTTTTTCACCAAGTCTATAGGACTTTTTGGTGACTTCCCAAAGAGTGGCATCTTGTTTACAGACTGCCTGGGCTCGACGACAGGCTCTCTATGTCCCCTCTCTGTATGGTGCAACCTGCAATCACAATACACACAGTGGTTATCAAATATTGCTGAATACAACAAATGGTATGACAAGGAGACATCACAAATGGGCTGGCACCAGAATAGGTTGCCTTATTGAGTTGGGATTCAAGTAGCATGGTCTCTATTTGTGTAGCAAGTGTGGGTCTTTGTGTCCCTGGTTTTGTAGTTGGTGTCCTATGCAGTCATCATAAAGTATGTCTGATACCGAGGATGGAAATTGGTTGCTTGGTTGTTTGTTTGACGCTGCACTCAGAAATATCCCAACTAAATGGCGGCAGTCTGTAAAATAATCGATTCTGGACCAGACAATCCAGTGATAAACAGTATAGTGAGTTTAGTTTTACATAACACTCAGCAATATTCCAGCTCTATGGCGGCAGTTTGTAAATAATTGAGTCTGGACCAGACAATCCAGTGATAAACAGCGTAAGCATCAATCTACGCAATTGGGATATGATGACGTGTTGACCAAATCAGCGAGCCTGACCACCTGATCCCCTTAGTCGCCTTTTATGACAAGCATGGGTTGCTAAAACTAATTTTAACCAGGATCTTCACGGAAATTGGAACTAGGAACAGGACAGACTCAGAGGCTGATTTTCACCCACAAGTCTGAAGAAAATGACAGTAAACTTCTCAAGTTAAATTAACAGATTCCCCCATCATCGAAATTTACAAACAAAAGACACCCTTTCAAAAAATGCAGAGGCACTTGAATGCAAACATTTATCCATGATTTGAAACTAAGTGCCCATGGCAGAAAATTTGGATAAAAACAATATTGTTCCAAACAAGCTCTTTGTCAAATGTAATTTCAGTGAGTGAGTGAGTGAGTGAGTGAGTTTAGTTTTACGCTTCACTCAGCAATATTCCAGCTATATGACAGCAGTTTGTAAATAGTCGAGTATGGACCAGACAACCCAGGGATTAACAGGATGAACATCGATCTACGCAATTGGAATACGATGACGTGTCAACCCAGTCAGCGAGCCTGACCACCCAATCCTGATAGTCGCCTCTTACGACAAGCATGGGTTACTGAAGATCAGTTCTACCCCGGACCTTTACGGGTTATTGGCAAGGAACCTGCAAGACGATTATCATCACGATACAGTGGTGGCAATATGATACGTATCCTGATACTTTACAATTTCTAATAACAGAACAGATATAGTAGATAAAATGACTGAAACTTTATTTGTTATACAGCAGAACTTGCGTTACATTCGCACACACTTAAAAAGTTGGTCATCTAATTAAGTTTCAGCATTTAATGCTTAAGACAGTACAGTCAAACATATTCAGTATACCTTGATCTAATATATATAAATTTGAAAGAGAAGTTTCCTTTGGGAAATTATGTTTCTACACCAGTGCTTTCACAAATAACTCAATGTAATTTATATCAGAATTCAGAATCACTGAAAAAAACCCTCTGCTTTCTAACTTTTATCTTCTCTTTGTTCTCTTTCTTAACAAAGCTAAGACATCGTTCATAGTTGTTAATAAATGATGTTATTTGTCACACAACTAAAACATATCTGCATATTTCAATTACTTGAAGACAAGTATTCTACAGTTCACAGAGTTTGTAAAATGTTCACTCTTTGACTTATACACCAACTCCTTTCTTCATGTAACAAAAATAACAGACACAAACAAATTCCTTTAAGGTTCAATTTGTTGTTAAAATTCAGAGGAATTTCAAAGAGACTCCCTTCCTATTCCTAATGCAATGCTCTTCACAACTTTAAGTGGTATTTAGGTTGTAGCGGGATATATCATTTCTTGTGGGGATACACTGATGTATCAATGGACCCTTGCAAAATAAATATCCTGATATGTTGCCTAAATGTGTTTTGTACTGCACTCGTATCGCGTAGTCGATGGGGATACACTGATGTATCAATGGACCCTTGCGAAATAAATATCCTGATATGTTGCCTTAATGTGTTTTGTACTGCACTCGTATCGCGTAGTCGATGGGGATACACTGATGTATCAATGGACCCTTGCGAAATAAATATCCTGATATGTTGCCTAAATGTGTTTTGTACTGCACTCAGATTATTTGTTAGCTAATACATGTTATAATGTAACCATAAAGTCGATGGGGATACACTGATGTATCAATGGACCCTTGTGAAATAAATATCCTGATATATTGCCTAAATGTGTTTTATATTGTACCCAAGATCGCGTAGTCGACGATGTAAACCAATGATACTATTGATGAATCGTTACACCACTAAAAGTAATACTTCACCCATAAAAGCTTTCAAATTTGGAGGTTTTCTACAGACTTCGGGTCCATAATCTGCCTGTGAGCAGTCCAGATATGTCTCAGTTATGCAGAGAAGGCACAATATTGTACATCTGTCAAGCATCGATTCAGCCTATGTACCTTCATTTTTCAGAATCAAGTATCAGCCAGCCAGTATATGTAGGTATAAACCCAACATATCAGGTACCTCATGTGCCACAGATATTCTAATATTTGCATCTCGAAACGATCTGGCGACAAAACCTGTTTCCACAGATCCAAATGTAATTGAATTCCAGCTATCATGATTATAACTCCTGTTGGGAAGAATATGGATCTGTATCACATGTCATCATGTTCATCAATATAGTGCTTATCTCCATCAACTGTGTACTACCCTGGATGAAGCCAAGTTAAATACAATGTGTACATTATGTACTAGTGGCTTTCTGTATCTAAGTGGTGTGAATAGTATTTGTATACTACCCATTAAAGGTTAAGATTAACTAGCATAAATGTAGCCACTTACTTCAGTCAACTGTTATAAACTAGATTCTGCAAGATATTCCATACTGTTTAAACTGACTGACTGACTGAGTTTAGTTTTACGCCGCTTTTAGCAATATTCCAGCAATATCATGGCGGGGGACACCAGAAATAGGTTTCACACATTATGCCCATATGGGAATCAAACCCAGGTCTTCAGCGTGACGAGCCAACGCTTTAACCACTAGGCTACCCAACCACCCCTATACTGTTTAAAGGTACTGTTTACACATGAACTGGTGTATTGTGAAAACAACTTAGTAACATTGAAAAGATTATTGTCATAAGTTCAATGAATGATAACCCAGTGAAAATTGGCGAATTCTTAACACAACTTTACACCAAAACGCAGTTGTTCACATGCACGATATTTGCACATGCTTTTCAGCAATTTGATGCATGATCCTCGTGCAATTTATCTGCATTAAGTTTGCAGTTGGTTCTCCCAAGTTAGTAGAGAAATTCAGCTTCGATGTAACCTCATATATATATACATATAGTGAGTGCTTTAAGGAGTCGTACTCTAAACTGGGTAGTATATATAGGGCTTATTACCATCACCTGTGTACAACCCTGGATGCAGCTTAGTTCAATACAATGTGTACATGATGTACTAGAGGCTTTCAGTGTCTAAGTGGTGAACCTCCCCCTTTCACCCCACTGTTCACTTTGGACATTACATTGTGTTCTACATAGGGTCAGGACGTAGCAATTCTACACAACATCTGTCCTCCATTTCTGCTGCTCTCATGAATTGTATTTCTGGGTCACATTTTCAGCAACTCAAATGTGGGTTGGATAAGTACACAATGGATTTGGTTGATGAAAACGGAAGATTCTACTGCAGTTGATGACAGATGATATTGGCAGCATGTTCATGATTTAAAGAAACCAATCACAAAGTACAGACTTATATGATTCAAAATGCCCTAGTGTGACCTAGCTAACCCAACAAGATGATGGACTCCAGTCTGTCCTGATGTGACATGTATGTTTGTAATGTTTCACAAGCTGCATCAATTTATTTCCATAAAAATGAAACACAATAATGAGCATGTTTAGTAAAATTGTAACTATTTTTAATACATTTTTGTTGCATTACCAGTTGCTATGCATTAGCAGTCTTATGGTTTTATTGAGTTGGACCGAGACCAGTCTCGTTTAACAGTAAATGCCAGATGTAAATAACTGACCTAGTTTAATAATCATGGTAACTGGGACTGCAACTGATTAAAATTCTGACTTTATGCAGGGTTTTAGATGACACAAATACTGCATACCAAACCAGTCTGTTTTAAACAGTTTTAAGACTACAAGACTAAACTTGGCTCAATGGATCATTTTCATTTATTGTGAATTCATCACAGAGTTTAGTGGACCAATCAGTATTTTAATAAACACAGGCTTTGGAGCAGTAGATAAAGTTACAGACTACTATACCTGTAATAAATTTCAACCCAGTGGTTTGCTCCGACATGTTTTGAAAAATATTTGAGTTTGGGGGATCACCTAAATCTTTAACTGTTAACATTAGGGGTTATCCAACAAGAATCCATTGAATTTCATGCTTAACTTTGAACATGTAGGACACTGGGTATGGTAAAAAATCAACTTGCAAAGTGGAAAATATATTTTATACATTGCAAAAATTGCTTTTATTAAAAAATGTTTAATAAATAAGGATGTATTCAATTAGTCTGTCTAGTGAAGTTTACTGCGATGCATAATTTGAGCATCAAGCATGAAAGACAAAAAATCCTTTTTACAGTCATGATGTAAAAGTATCAGGATGTATTTACATCTTTAGGAGTCGCCGAGATTAGAACACCACAGCATGATAGAAGAAAACCTGATGCAATAATACAAGCCCATACCAGTTTTGTAAATGTGAAACATATCTTAAGGGTTTGTAAACTTACAAACAATTGGACCGGATGATAGGTTACAACTTTATCACTATTCAGGAAGGTACACTTTTTAGGTGAATTATCTATATCTGGGAGCACTGTTAAGTATGCACAAAGACATGTTAGAATTGGTCCTGAGCAACCCATGTTTGTTATAACAGGCGACTAATGGGATTGGATGTAAGGTTAACTGACTTGGAGGACATATGTCATTGTATCCAAAATGCATAGTTTAATTGCTCATACTGTTGATCACTGGATTGTCTGGTCAGGACTCCATTATTTACGGGCCACTGACATATAGCTGGAATATTGCTGAGTGTGGCGTTAAACAACAAGCATGGGTTGCTGAAGATCAATTCTAACACAGATCTTCACAGGTATGACTTTGTTGAGTCGCAACAAGTGGTGTCTAGTAGAAAGCAGCCAAGGCTGTCCAAAATGGAACTTAAATTCTTGTATATTTCAGAAAGACTCTTTTTCTTGTCGACTGTTTCTGAGTAAATGACACACTGAGTTATTCCAAACAGATGATTTGGAATATATTGGCAGAAGTGCTTTATCCACATTTATTCACAGAGCTCCAGACAAGATTTAGCTCATGTGGGTACTGTACCCACTGTATTTTTATGGAGTGGGTATTATGAATGTTAAGTGGGTTTTTTTATTTTCCTTTACCTACTTCTTTCAAATATGTGCATATTTCAGTCATTTTACTCACCTAAGTATTATGTCATTGAGTACAGTGTTCACGAATGGTGTTAAAGTAACAGGACTTTCGGTCCTGTAAGTTTCAGATGTCTGTCTGACCCATTGAAAATTCACAGGACCCATAGAATAAAATTAAACACACATTTCAAATTTAATATTTCTTATATTGGCATTGAAATTATTAACAAACATAAGATTTATAAACAGCAAACAAGTGTCACATATAACAACTTCAGTCAAAGTCATTGTGAAATATACAGTCAGAAACTGGGGCCGGCAAGTTGTAGATTTCTATCGGACCGTTGGCGAATCTGCCGGATTTGTCAGAGGGTCAGACGCTATTCGCGAACACTGGAGTAAGTTTACTAAGCAGGTATGTCCTGCTTTATGTCATACCTAATCAAAACCAACTTAAATATAATGGGAATGATTTCATAAAAAAATCACTCATCCTATACTGACAGTACAACACTAGCCCTATACTAACAGTACAACTTGATAGCAATTGATGTCTTTTTCATTACGCATGTGAATTTTATAAATATATTCCGTACGCATTTTTTTAAAACTTTGTGCGTATCTAACATTTTAAATGCGTAATTGGTATGCAACAATAACTTTTCAATGCGTAATTGAAAATTTTCTATGGATATTTTACCCGGATACGCAGTTTATAGTATGACCAGAATTATTGAGAATTTTAGGAATATGTTTAATTGGATTTCTAGTATTAACAACCTTGACCAGCTATCAAGTGCTTGTTTTCATTTAAGAGAGACAACTCTGTTAATACTTTTTCATTAGTTTGCGAAGAGTTATCCCCCATTGTTTACTTGCTAGCAGACGACATTTTCAGTGATCCTCAGTATGGATGATTTAGAGAAGAGGAAGTTGAGTTTAGAGTTTTATAAACAAGGATATCAGATCAGCTCAAGTGATTTCAAGTAGAACAGGCATCCCTTTGTCCACTGTTTATCGTGTTTTGAAAAATATTGCAAATGGATATGGCATTGAGCACCAGCGAGGCGCAGGCAGGACCAGAAAATTGACTGTCGGTGACAGGAGGCGGCTTAGTATTCTTGTTTCTAAAAACAAATGAAGGAGTTTAGAAAACTTAAGGTTCGATATGATTGATAGAGGAACTGTGGCTGTCTGTAAGGACCAATGGGTTGGCAGAAAAGTCGAGGAATTCCATCACCGATCACGAAACCTGAACAAAAGGAGCGAAGGTTGAACTGGTGCTTACAGCATAGAAATTTTAACTGGGACAATGTGATTTTCTCAGATGAAAGTTCTGTGTGGCTGTTTCCTAATACACTGAAATTCTGGACCAAACAAACTGAAAAACCTTTGTATCAGCGCCCAAAGTACAGTCGGAAATTTAATGTGTGGGGTGGCAAATCTGTGTTAGTGGCAACGCCCCTCTGTGTATTTGAAGGGAATATATACAGTGAGCGGTACACAGATAATCTTGAGGGACATTAACTTCCATCTGCTCACGTATTCTATGGAAAGTTTTGGATTTTCCAGCAGGACAACGACCCAAAACATCGTTCAAAGCATTCACAGGACTGGTTTCGGACCCAAAATATGACATTATTAGATTGGCCAAGCTATAGCCCTGACCTAAATCCAATAGAAAATGTTTGGGGACTTATGAAGGAAAGTGTCAATGAGAAAAATCTGACAAATATTGCTGAAATGAAAGAAGAGGTGGTCCGATATTGGGACAGCATGGACCACGACTTTCTAACTTCTTTGATCATTAGTATGCCCCGCCTCATTGAAACCTGCATTGCTGCCCATGGTGACCTGACAAAATACTATCTGCTCACCTGTCTTTGAATCTGGAGTTATGTTCTGCTAATATTCACATTTAATACGTGAGTAATGAGCGAAAAATATATAAAAAATGACAATGTTTAAATTCTCAACAATTTCTGGTTGTACTGTATCTGGGCCTCTGTATTCATACTTAGTTCATATTTTCATGCACAGTTTACATTTCCTTGTAAACAAACACTTTTACCATTAAGTAGGTGGCAAATCTCAAGCAGATCATTTTGCCGATTACAGAGGAAGGATCATGACTAGCCCCATTACCAGTGTAACATCAGAAGCACTATCCGCACTAATTTAATGAGTCACATTTTTAGCTTCAATAATGATATACATCTACATTGTCTCATTACAACAAGAGTGGGTGAGTTTAGTTTTACGCCGCACTCAGCAATATTCCAGCTATATTCCAGCTATATGGCAGCATTACAACAAGAGCAAATTCATAGAAAAATAGAGTTAACAATGGTTAATTAACACTAAGATGCAGCAACAAAATGCACTGGCTTACCCAATGAGAACTTAGTCACTTGACTTCTCCTTTTTAGTAAGTGTACATCACTGGGGTCCAGTGGGGATGTTTCATTTTTTGTATTTACATGATCAGTGATCAGGTAACGTTACTTGTTGTAAGTGAAAACAAGGATTTCAAGTAGGCGATTTTCTATGCAAGTACATGTGGACCGTAAATTCACTTAAAAATAAAACATTTCCTTATAAACCGAATCACGGGCAGGTGACTAAAACAAACATGGAACATCGATTTCATCTACAAAGGGACACAACTCCATCAATAGTCGGCCTCGAAATAAATGTGTAACATATTCGTCTTCGAATAAACTAAGAGTTATGATACTCGTATTTGTAATACGGCCTGACGTGTTGACAAAATGAAACTGAGATTACATTTCATGTTTTAGAGAATATGAACGTGTCAGCATGATTTCATCTATCAATGGGCTGGGTCACCTGGTCCGACATCGACCGGGGACAGCAGGGTCATATTTAGAATTAAGAAATCTTACAAAACTGACAATGAAAGAATATATCTAATGTCTGAATTGGCGGATTATATCTCCATTAAAGTTAATTCATGTACAAAGTCAACAGAAATTGACAATTCTCAAATTTTGAGACACTGAAACGCTCGTATCGGAAAAATATGGCCGTCTGTTCGAGCCGATCTTCCTCGTTCATGAGTTGTGATGATGGGTCAGGTGAATACAAAACAAAAACATTGAAGTTATCAGGCGTCTTTATACGAAGACTTAACGTCCTATCGGTCTAAACACATCATTCACTAAACGTTAATCATCTAAATAGTAATGAATTGTCAAAAACTTACCAAAACTAAGAATACCTCACCTAAAAAACTTTGAGCAAGTGACGTCACATATGAACAAGTGCGCAAACCCGGAAGTAAGAAATTGACGTTTAGATTAAACTATTAGCTAAACAACATACTACAGACACAGAATATGAGTACTGACGTCAGTTGTAGAGATCGTTCAACGCTGGAGGCTCTTCAGCAAAAAACACCACGCATTATCATTTATAATCTCTTAACACCCCACTCCTTGCACGAGTGTAGTCAAAACCCCCCAACTTATTTAAAATGATTAAATATATGCCATAAATGCATAGTTTTTGTCAACTTTGATATTATATTCTTCATACTAACAGTTATTTCTAAGTAATATTTCTGATAAATGTTCCATTAATATGTTTTTGTAAATGAGTACAAGAATTAATAAGATGTTTTATATTACACTAGTATTGTATAATACTTACCCAAACAATCTTGAGCTTTTGCGTAGCTTGTCAAAAGGGCTATACTGTGGGGGTGAGAACTGGCTATAAAAACATGTTCACTAATTGACTTTAATGGGAAGAAATGTCTCAAGTCTAAACATACAGTGCGGGTGCAGGCTAAAACGGAACCACAGCAAAACGGCACCTGGCGAAAACGGCACCAATCTTATGGGGAAAACTAGTTTGTTATAAGATAATCGGATTGCAGATAATAAATACATCTACTATTATGTCGGAACTATCAAAATTTAAGAACAAGGATGTATTTTTATATTCAAGGATACGATGTGAAAACTATTATACGGTAACGGCGCATTGAATAACTCAACTATTAGTGATATTCCGAACTCAGTACAACAGTTCATTTCTAAAAGTAACCGCTTACAGTAATTATCAAATCTACGTATATATTCAATGTAAGGCAAGTTTTATATATTTGATTTTCAATGGCTGCTCATTTCGTTGCTAGGCATATCCAACACTATACCGAACATATGTATTATTCAATCATTTATCTGTTATTTTGTCACAGTATTTTTCTTTTGTTGTCAAATTATTTCAATTATGTATCCAGCTATTGGAACAATGTAATGGAGTTGCGTCTATATAAGCCACTAGGCTTGTTTGCCTATCCAGATTTCTTTGACGAAACAAAAATGTGCTTAAACCAAATATATCTACTGTGCCGACAGTGATTGGAAGTGGGCATCCCATAGCTGACAATCGGATTGCAGAATGTGTAGATAGTAAATACATCTACTGTGCCCACAGTGATTGGAAAGGGCATCCCAATTTAGCATGAAAACATCGCAACCTTTGATGTTTTAAGTACATTTACTCAACTGAAATCGCCCAGTGTCAAACTAAGTGTCAAAATGAAATTGTTTTTATAACGCCCAAATGTACCCATTGTTTACCGTCGCCGAAATACCTTAGTTGTGCGTGCGACGTTAAATAAAGCAAATAACAACAACCCATTGTTTGTTAGTTTTTTGGTTTTATGGGGATTTTTTTTCTTTTTGGGGTTTACATAACATAATATTTTTTCTGAATATACATAACATATATTATGCAAGCTTAATGATGTTTCATTTTTCATATTTTACCATTTTTATTAGACATTTCCTGAAATTGTGTCACTGCCGTTACGAAATTTGTAACATCATTTTGAAAGAAAAAATCCAAAGATAATATTTATTTCATGTACATATATATTAAAATATCTAGTTTTACAATATAACATGGAGTTTTGAAATTGTATATTTATTGCTTATGAAAAAGACAAAAAAATTCAAATGCCACATCTGTGACATCAGCCACTGGAGTTGTGACACATGAACATTGAGTAAAATTGGGTGGTGTAAAGTAAATATTAAAATATAGTTTCCCTACTTTTGTTACTGTAAAGTGTAGAAAAATATTGTGATAAGTTAGTTATCATAATTTTTTTGGTTTGATTTTGACTTAAGTTTGTCGGATACAAACATCTGACATAAATATGCACGGATTTTGAGAATGACTCATATGTTGATATAATCTTGCTAATGTTATAATGAAATGAAATAAAACATGAGTCAACGTCATACTTTGTTTAATATATGGTGCCGTTTTAGCCCAGAAATCAGTAGCCGTTTTCGCCAATATGGTGCCGTTTTCGCCACACAAATTTGGTGCCGTTCTGCTGTGGTGCCGTTTTAGCTATAACCCTACAGTGCTATGGTATTTTGATGAAATGTCTTAATTCTTAACTAGAGCAGTATGAATGTGTGATATGTACACAACAAACAGAGGTTCTTGTAAAATACAATGTCTTCAGACAGTCGTAACGAATACAGTATATACTTATCACATGGACGAAATGTGGACTTTGAGTTTGACCATCTCGGACGTATATGTGGCCAAATATCTTGACATCACATCTTTTACATTTGATTCTGTATGCGCAGTCAGAAACAGTAAAGTATGGCCTCTGAAACTACGAAAACGCGCAAAGATGTCATCATCATCGGAGCTGGTATTTCAGGTCTCGTGACGGCCAAGTGCTTGAAAGATGACGGGTTGAATGTTGTTGTGCTCGAAAGAACCGGCGAAGTGGGAGGCTTGTGGACTTTCCGAGAGCATGATTATGGTGTCATGAGGTTTACACACATGTGAGTACCCAAATTTCACGTGATCAATCAAATATGGATTCCTCAACTTGACCTTAGTTTTGAAATTCACGAAGTGTCAATATGTCCCACGTACACAAATCAAAGTAATCATTTTCATGGATCTTATTGTTACATCCTCGCAGTTGCTGTTTGGCTGTTTTTAATTCATAATTTAGTATTCCAGTAATTGAAATGTGCTGGATTACCTTGAGGTCTGTTTGGACAGGTGGTTGCAATGCCGAGGGTATCATTTGTCAGGCTGGTGGCTGCTTAGATATGAATCTGTATCATGTTGGAAATAAAATAGACTAGGCTCAGTTGGAGGCACTAGTTATAACAGTGAACTTGATTACTGAGGACGTTGCTTTTAGAAAGATTGAAAGAACATGATGGATTGTTGAGTGACCATTTGTGTATGGTTCTGTATTATGGAGGGGATGTTTTAACTGTGTTCTGGATTATTAAAGGTGTTGTTTTCAGAAACATTGGAAGAGCATGGTGAATTTTATCAACTACCAGTTACTAAGGTTTTTGTGGTATTCAAGTAGCTTTATCTGCACAGTAACCCAAGGTTATATGTTTCTCCCAAATTATAACCCATTCTTGCTTTGTGAAGTTTAGCAATGTTTAAGTACAAGTTTCATGACTGATTCAGAGCTGTGATTCACTGTGAAAAGGGAGATAATTTGAACTGAGCAACAGGGTATCTTATTGCTGTCATATGTTTTTTTATAATTTTGTCAGTATTGATTATGCTCATCTCCCTTAGATTTGGTGTGTTTCACACTCAAATATTGTGTTTAGATATCGGCTCCATTGGAGCAATGGTAACAGCCCCAGTCAATGCATCGCTTGCAATGAAGGCTCCCTGAGCACGTGTGTTTTACGCCCGCCATGATACATGTCGCCAGATTGTCCTGGTCAGCGTGTACCTATCAAAATGAACTGTTAAGATTGAACCCGAAGAATTGAAAGCTTCTCATGTTATCACAATTGCTATTACTGATACGCTCTGGATTTGCATAAAATTTACAAGAACAAAATTTCTATTACCTTTACACAATTTTCCTACGTCATGTGTATCATGAGGGTGGTTGGATAGTCTAGTGGTTGAGGCATTTACTTGTCAACCAGAAGTCCTATGTTTGATTCCCCACATAGGTACAGTGTTTGAAGTTTATTTCTAATGTCACCCACAGTGATATTGCTGGAATTTTGCTAAAAGGGGTGTAAAATCAGAGCTACAGATAACTCCTTGGGTCATTGAGTTATATATACTAGTACTCGCATGTGTTCATTTCCACTGGGTATCCTAATTTTCCTTTCAGTAACCAAATATATTGTACCCACCTCACTCGAACACAATTGGGTATTTTACCATTAATTGTAAAAATGTAATAAAGATTAAATGTTAGTTTATGTGTTTGTTATTTATATTTTGATCTGTAATATGAGAAACGATGAGAAAGATAAGTTGACAAGTTCATGTGTTGAAATAGAACCTCTCAATATACCTCTGTTATTGTCCCCCGCCGTAACGCAGAACGGGGAACTATGTATTCAGCAGCGTCCGTCCGTCCGTACGTCCCGATTCTTGTTAACGCGATATCTCGTGAACTGTTGTACCCAATGTCTTCAAATTTGGTGACATCCTACATTGGGAGATTATGCAGACACCAGTCGATTTGGGTGACCTTGACCTTATTTTCAAGGTCACCACGACACTTTGACCACTTTTCAAACTCTTGTTAACGCGAGATCTCATGAAATGTTGTACCCAATGTCTTCAAATTTGGTGACAGCCTACATTGGGTGATTACGCAGACACCAGTCGATTTGGGTGACCTTGACCTTATTTTCACAGTCACCACGACACTTTGACCACTTTTCAAACTCTTGACACTTTGACCACTTTTCAAACTCTTGTTAACGCGAGATCTCATGAACTGTTGTACCCAATGTCTTGAAATTTGGTGACAGCCTACATTGGGTGATTACGCAGACACCAGTCGATTTGGGTGACCTTGACCTTATTTTCACAGTCACCACGACACTTTGACCACTTTTCAAACTCTTGTTAACGCGAGATCTCATGAACTGTTGTACCCAATGTCTTGAAATTTGGTGACAGCCTACATTGGGTGATTACACAGACACCAGTTGATTTGGGTGACCTTGACCTTATTTTCACAGTCACCACGACACTTTGACCACTTTTCAAACTATTGCTAGCGTGATATCTCAAGAACTGTTGTACCCAATGTCTTGAAATTTGGTGACAGCCTACATTAGGGGATTACGCAGACACCAGTCGATTTGGGTGACCTTGACCTTATTTTCATGGACTGTTGTACCCAATTTCTTCAAATTTGGTGACAGCCTACATTGAGGGATTTCAAAGATGCCAGTTTATTTAGGTGACCTTGACCTTATTTTCAAGGTCACCAGGACACTTTGAACACTTTTCAAACTCTTCTTAACATGGCATCTCATGGACTGTTGTACCCAATGTCTTCAAATTTGGTGACAGCATACATTGGGGGGATTAGGCAGATACCAGTTCATTTTGAGTGACCTTGACCTTATCTTCAAGGTCACCACGACACTTTTCACACTTTTAACTCTTGTTAACGCGATATCTCATGGACTGTTGTACCCAATGTCTTCAAATTTGGTGACAGTTTACATTGGGATATTACACAGAGTTTATTTGGGTGACCTTGACCTTATCTTCAAGGTCACCACGACACTTTTCACACTTTTAACTCTTGTTAACGCTATATCTCATGGACTGTTGTACCCAATGTCTTCAAATTTGGTGACAGTTTACATTGGGATATTACACAGACACCAGTTTATTTGGGTGACCTTGACCTTATCTTCAAGGTCACCACGATTCTTTGACGATTGCTTTTTAAAGGCGATATCTCATAAAACATTTCACCCAATGTTTTCAAGTATGTTGACAGCCTACATTGGGTGATTGTGCAGACACCAGTCATTTCAGGCATCTTGTATGTGACCCAAAAATAAAAAGTAATAAATATAGATATTCCATTCTTTAGCGGTGGGGGACATTGCCATATCAGTGGCAAACACTTGTTATATCTATCGACTGGTACGCAAGCTAAGATTTGACATTTTTGTGTGTACGCTTGTAAGATCAAATTTATTGAGTATTTACAAAAATTCAAGCGTACTTGTATGCAAAAGATTTAATAGGAATTGAGTTTTGACATAAATATTTGCGTAATTTATGCAGATACACAGCTTCTCTGTACCTCTGAAAATTACACAGACTGACTGACTGACCAACTGACTGTCTCACATGCTTATTGTGACTGAAAAGAAAATCGTGTGCAAACTGAACGTCAGGCATTGACCGGGGAGGTGCTACCATTACTCCAATGGAACCGATATCTAAACACAATATTTGAGTGTGAAACACACCAAATCTAAGGGAGATGAGCATTATAAAAAAACAATGCAGGGTGCAGTTTCACTATTTACAACCTGCACTGGTGCATGTTAACAGGGGTGGAAATAACCCATTGCCCGACGCCCGAGTCCAGTGTTTTTTTCTGTTGGGCAAGCAAATTTGTATATCATACTGTACCGGTGTCCAGTTGACTTTCCAATGTTAATTATGTTCTTTATGTAAAAAATCAACAAGAAAACAGCTGGTATAGTGGAAAAATTATCAGGGCAAGTGATTTTACATGTGCCACTGTACCGGAGTACACTAGCAATTTTAAAGTTATTTCCACCCCTGGTTAAAATGGCTGGTGCAGGTTGCCTTTAGTAACAGGTTGCACCCGATGCAGGTAACAATAAATCCTCCAACATCTTATAGCTGTCATCATGTGTTTAATTGGGAAGTAGTTTACTGGAAGTAATATGTTTCTATCTGCAGGACTTGTTACAAGCAGAAACAATTGTCTACTCATAAATCAGTAATGTAGCAGTAATCATATAATTGATATTTTTATATAAAGATAATACAAAATTGAAACAGAATCATTCATCGTTCTGTTGAATTTATCTGATACTGAGGACTTCTTGATATTATTTTCTGGTGCAACCAAAATTTTAATGGTGCAGCCAAACCTATAAGCAAGATTGCTCTCGGTGCAGGTACTGAAACCCCACTGAAATTGCACCCTGGAATGTATATTGATAGGTTATAATCAGATATTTATGTACCCAAGGAAACATACACAATGTGATGGTGACATGCTAGTCAGTATTCACTATAAAAGACAACTGAAGCATATATTGAGGAATGGTTGAGTGAGAGTGCCGGATTATTGATCTGGTATATTCTGGCAGTTATCAGTGGTGCTCACGCGGTTCTGTACCAGGGAACTTTGAACACAATCGAATTGTACTTTGAACAGCATGTTTAATAGCAACAAGCAACTTCATAAATCAATGATGTTTATCTGTCAATGTTTGGATTGTTCAGTTAATACTTGCTCAGATAGTGTACAGTGCATTTGATAAGTTTATTTTTGTAGTGGTCAGAGAGTGTACAGTGCATTTGATAAGTTCATTTTTGTTGTGGTCAGAGAGTGTACTGTGCATAAAACTGAAATGAACGTAGTTTACTGTAGTGGTGGTCCGATTAATTGAAATAATCGAAGATTGTTCGCAATGACTAAACGACCAAGCAATCGATCATGTTTTCTCATAATTGAAAATAAACAATTTTGGAACACTTGTTTGCTTAAACAATATTTTTCACAAGGTTGGTTTTGTCTGTTACATTTCATAAGCACTACAAGCTCGTTCCAAGTCAGGATTAAATTTATCTTAAAGACTCCAGGAAAATGTTCCTAACATACTAGTAGTCATCCTTTAAAGATGTGAAGTTTGCAAATGTGTTTTGTGCAATTTGCAAAATACTCGAAAGAACTACGTTTTCTATATTTTTGGTGCGTTAACAAACATAACCTGGAAAGTTTGATAACTGACGCTAACAAATTATATTTGATGATTGA